CAGCAGCAGCAGCAGCAGCAGCAGTCATGCTTGTCCGCGCGCGCCTGCTGTCAGTCTGTCCGCGCATCTGCCGTCGCAATTACTACTCCTCTTTGACTCTTTGTGGCCATGCGCAAGCGCATTATATACAAACGTCTAGATTCCCCGCGCGTCTCCGAGCTGTGTACCAGCAGGATACTCATGACTGGCTTAAACAATGTAAATATCCTTCGACTCTCTGGCTGCTATACTTGGTCGGCCGCTTGTCGCGTGGCGCTGTTGGAGGTTCATCTGGCATGCATGCATCAGCAGCGCGGTAGAGTAGGCAAGGCGCAGCAGGCGCATCTCCACAGATACCCTGGCGCATCCCATCAGCGGCCTCTGAAGCAGCTGTAAGCACGGCCCCCTCGCAACGCCCCCGTATCGCTGCTGTGGTGCATCGCTGGCGCCGGTGCTCTGCATGGGCGCGCGCGAGTCTGCACCCGACGCGATCGAGCGTGAGGTGCCGCTCGCCGCCGCTTCACGCATGCCCGCGCGGCCGTTGAGCGCGCTCTTTATAGTCAGCACGATGCAGTCAATGCTGATGCGTGCGAGCTGTGACTCTTTTCGCCGCTCGCGTAGCCACGCAGCATGAGCGCGGTCCTGCACGCAATTAAGCTGACGTCGCTGCTGCTGTGGCCGGCCCATACAATGATATACATATATCATACATCCAAATTATAAATCACGAATGTCAAATGCATATTTACAAAGCTGCTGCTGCGCGGATACGCGGCCTCGGCGTCCAGGTCAGCTCTCGCTCCTACTTCTGGCCGAATCCCCTCACGGACATCCCTCTTCAGCTTTTCCGTCTCAGCTTCGTTCTTAGCGTCATACAGTATGCAAGATCTGCCTGTGATTCATATTCAAACTCCGAAGACGAGTCGATGAGTTCGGAATGAGTATACTTCTCGCGCAGATGAGCTGCGTTTGCGAGGTCAAAAGAGTCGCTTGCTTGCGAGCTCTCGGGCACAACATTGATCCAGGCATCGTGAACAAGGCAGCATGGATCCTGGCCCAACACCTTTAGGATCGTGTTGTAGGTCACAAATCATGCCAAGGGTCACTGACATGCTCTCCGAACGCTTTGCTCTGTATGTCGGCGAGAACCGTTTTGCAGACGCCATGCCAGCTTCGAATCATCAAACATGGCATTGCACCACACTGCATGTGGCAAAGATCCCAGCAGCGAGCACTAGGTCTGAGTGACGCGTACCACCGTCCATGCCTCCCGATAGCAAGGCATCGTTCTTGAAGATCACACTGCATTCCGCTGTATGGATACGACGTCTGACGTTGGTCCGCGAGTCGCTTTATAGCTGTCCACGTGGAGGGGAGTCAGTCAGGTCTTCTTCGCCAGACTGCTCGGCAGCGCGTTTAGCTCGCCATCCTCGTACGCCGTTCTCAAATGTTTCCAAGTCGAGTCCCGAGTTGCTAATCTCCACAAAGTGAACGCCGAGTTTGCGCTCGACTTCACCTGTGCAAGCGTCAATGTTGGGTATAAGCCTGAGCCACTCGCCCGTGCGCTTGGCAATGCTCTCCATACGTACTGTTCCGTCTTTCATCGTCGAAGAAAATCCTAGTTCGCCGCCCGGAGAAAAGATCCAATGAGCACGAAGCATAGCGCTGCGTGACACGTTGCGCCATCTTCAGCGTCACGGCAGGCACTTACATATCTTCGTAGGGCACGCGAGAGTCCTTGTGTATTCTATTAAAGTGCGTGATCTTGGATCCTGGGTAGATCTCCATATAGTCGAACAAACCTTGCGTTGGCGACGAGAAAGGTCAGCCACGCGAAATGCTGCGACAGGCTGGAACAGAGCGTTCGCGCGCGAGAACGACTCACTGATAGCTTTGACGATGCGGGTGCGATCCTCAACGCTCCTTCTTGGCGAGTGAGGTGGCTCATCGGCCGGCGCAGGATCAGTGTCCTTCAGAAAGAGTCCACTGAGCGCTTGTTTGGCAGCTGTCGGGGCGGAAGTCCGAGAGGCTGCGGCGATAGGTATGGAAGTCCGGGCAAGGCTCAGCAGCAAGGTTGGCACGTGTGGATAAAAAGAGAGGGGTTGGCCGTTGCTGCAGAGAGCGCCAGAACAGGAGCGTCAAAGACAAGAAGCACCAAGAAGCAGCGATTGCCGGTTTGACGCACCTATCGACCACTTTGTTGATGGCATCGCCTGATGCGCGCCTTAAAGGGGGGTCGACTATGGCAGGCACAGCGTGAGCATCTTGTGCCAAGAGTCCGGCCGACACAATCCGTACACACCATGCGTATCCACCCAAGCTGGCCAGAGCGTATAATCCAAGTCCTGCAGAAGTGCCGGAAGCATGAGCTCGCAGACCGATCGAAGCATGCTATAAGCGTGCTTGCCCTCACAAAGGCAAAGAGCTTGGGCATCGGTCCTTCCGCTACTAATCTGTCAAAGCTTTGTCGGACTTCCAAGCTGTAATCGTACATCGCTTCCTTATTGCGTCGACCCATCGCGGCATAAGTTTGGCGCCTTATGTTTGGAACGAGCCACAGTGCAGCACCGAGGGTGGCCAATGTTGTAGCGACCGTAACCAAACGCAGTCGTGGAGCCATGCGGTCCACGGGCTATAGCTTCGACGCCTCGCGCTCCTTCGTCGGCAGCTTTCTATGACGAGTTCTTCTGTCTAGGTCGCTGCCGAGGTATACCCAAGTCTTCAGCTCTATTTGATGAACCCAGAAAGTTTTTCCATCTCTGGTGGATGTGTGATGGTGAAGGTGCGAGCAGCGAAAGCAAGAGCGAAGAGGATGTCACAAGATCCACAGCCCTCGAGACCATCGCGCAGCGTGCAGCAGCTTCGAATTTACTGTACGAGTCACAAGCGCCGATGCGCGCGCCCGGCCTCAGCAGCCTCCACTTGCCGCGCGACCGAGACGGAAAGCTGCGAAGCTGAGCCTATACTCGCACTCACCACTCGTGCCTCTGTCTGTAATTGTGCCTGTACTAACCCGTACCGGTACGCATATGCTCACGGTACATGCTACCACAGATATCCCTGTACACGCACGCGTCATGCGACCCTGACACTCACGATTCCTTGTAGCGTCAGGAAGAGACCAGCGACAGTAACAGTCCAAGGAGGTGGTGTGCACCCCGCCACGTCCTCACGCACGCCCGATCTCAAGATGGGGTGGGCATACATTGTAGCTGCCACGGGCACCAACCGTCACGTCCAGAAATCAAATTATCTGCTGGGCCACATCATAGACACGCGTGCGTGTCGCATGCTCGAGAGCAGGAAAGGGAGAGGTAGCGCACGACAAGTCGGGAGTGTCTAGCTGTGCGTGAAATTCGAGCACAATGGCTCTTTCGTGTCGTCTGTCTCTCGCAACCTTCCGCCTCTTCAAGTCCTTGCGTTTCTCCCATCAAGTCCTTGCCACGAAGGTGGTGACTTCGTGCCATATAGCATCACGCAAGCTGTTCGAGCAAAGAACCACAGCAGATCAGCAAGTGGTCAATGGGACGGTGGTTGTGGCGTCAATGACCCCACTCACTTGTCTTTCGTCGCAAGAGACTTCGAGGACGTAGGTCAATCGGCGCAGTCAGCAGTGTGCCATTCTCAACAACATAATCACAAAGGGACAAAGAAGCCATTTGGCCAACTCACAGGCTCAAGGTCAAATTTGAAGCTTTCCATGGGCAAAGGGTCCGCTCCAGGCTCATCATCTGAAAAGAAATTGATGCATCAGTCCTCCCCATGTGTACGAGATCATGCCAAGGCACGCACCTGGGTCGTGGTATGGCGCGAGATACTCATGGGCCAATGCCTGCTCTACTGTGATTCTCTTTCTCGGCGAGAAAGTCAAGCATTTTTCCTAGACACAACGACGAACTCCCATGTAAGCGCCAAGGATCAAGCCCACCCGGCTACCTCCCAGAAAATACTCACCATCCTGCAGCCAAACAAGACGGAGACGACAAGGGACAAGTGATAAGCTCAACCCCTTGAGACAATCTCAAACCTTTCCCTTCTAGACTCACAAGTCCACAGCCAGCGGGTTCGCCTGAGGGAACATCTTGGAAAAGTCGCGTCTCTTCCTAAACGGCAACGCCCGGATGTAGTCTCTGGAACGAGTGGAAGTGATCGCGTAGAAATCGTCGAGAGAAGGCGTGCCCAATATCTCGAGGGTGAGGGAGAGCTGGTGGTGGTCTACAAGCACATTGCAGTTGGATGCCAGTCAGCATGCAGAAGCGCTTGCGGCCTGCGCCATGCTTGGTGGAACTCACAGTCACGCCCAGGGAAGAGAGGCTTGCCCGACAGCATTTCGGCAAGAATGCACCCTACAGACCAGATGTCGATTGCCTTTGTGTACTCCTTGAAGCTGTCCGATCGCCCGCAGATGCACGAATGAATCAGATCCGCTCCCGGCTTGAGATTTGCTCTGCGCAAGAGCTCTCGCCCGCTGTTACTCCTCTCTACTCACGTAAGCATAATCTCGGGTGCTCTGTACCAACGCGTCGCCACGTATTCAGTCATAAACCCTGTGCCCTGTGCCTCGGGCTGGTTCGCGCTCCTAGCAAGACCAAAGTCACAGATCTTGAGATCGCAATTGGCATTGAGCAGCAAGTTGCTTGGCTTCAAGTCTCTATGCAGCACCTGTGCGCTGTGCAGGGCTTTGAGACCGCGCAAAGTCTGATAGATGAAGTACTGGCAGTGATCGTCCGAGAGCTCCTGAGTGCGAATCACGCGATGCATGTCCGTCTCCATGAGCTCCTGTTGCACAGACGGGCGTGAACATAAGCATTTGGACAGAGTTCGAAAGATGTGCTCGTCTTCGCTGCATCTGACAAGATCCGCCCAAGCGGAAAGCCAAGCTGCAGTGGTGTCCGCTTGTCAAAAGCGTCACGAAAAGATACTTACTTGGATCAGGTACACCTCCTGGAAGCGCTCGTAGTCATCCGGTCTGATCATGTCTAGGATCGAGATGATGTTCTCGTGATTAAAATGCCGGAGCAGCTTGATCTCTCGAAGCGTACGCAGGCAAAACATCGAATGATCGAAAGGAGTGATCCTCTTGATAGCGACTCTTGTCTGAGATGGGTTGTGAATCGCAGAGCTGGAGGCGGAGCGAGTGTACGCAGGTTTGCAGCATGTCATCAACGGTGAGCGAGGACGAGGGACGAGCGACGAGCTCTAACAAGGTAGCTTGACTCACCAGACGACCCCATAGGCTCCTTCCCCAATGACATCCACCACGGTGTAGTTCTGGCCAATGTGAAAGTTCGCGGCAAGTGCCGCGGGAGAGCTTTGCGTCGCCATGATGCCTATAGCCTTGCGGCTTGTACGACTGTGTTCCTGACTCGTCGCTCGTAGGACTGTAGCTCTGGAGGGCTAGCGTGCCACACAGGAGGATCGCTCGCAAGAATAGCACAGGCTAGAAGTCGCTGTCTGATCGTTCGAGCGTGTTCAGCCGAATGGCTTGCGCTATGTGATAATGAGAATGATGTTCACAGCGTGAGCTTGAGCTCAGGGAGGTGGTAACACGGAGCCGTGAGTGGTGTTTAGGACGGTGTAACAGGCATTCAGCTCGATGACGCTGGTATTTGATGCTTGTATGCGAGTGTCGACCTCGTGCTCGGTGCGCAAAACGTGCTGCTGATGCGTTAATGCGCGGCGCACCAACGTTGAGCTTGGTCGGAGCTACTGTAGGTGTGCGTGAATCGGCTTGGTGTGGCTCTGGTGGGCTGCAGCTGCACCCTATTCACAGTTTCTGGATGCGGAGATACAAGAGGGGCCAACGCTCAGTCAGCAGGCGATTGGGTTGGCCTGCGCAGTCGCGCTTGCAGCCGCTATATAGCACGCTCGACAAGCTTGACGGATGATTCGTGAATGCCTGCTGTGCCTCCGCCGCGAGGGAGACGAGAGCGAGGACTTGAGAAGCCAAAAGATGTTTGCTGGTGGGGGGTGGCCTTGCTGCAATGCTATGCTGATTGATGATGGATGGCCCGCTAACGACAATGCATGAACTCTCGGTAGCGTCGATGCCACGGCCAGAGCGATGGCTGAATTGTCTGGCTGGCTGCGTGCCGCGTACAGGATACGTGTGCGCGTCTGTGTGACCAAAGCAACCATGCATGCAAGCAGATGAGACAGGCGGGCCAGCGGGTGATGCCCGGCATCGAGGCTGAGCCGTGCGCGC